GTTTAGCTTGGTCTGTCTCGCCCGAGGCATAAACTGGTGTGTTGTTTGTCTTCCTCTGAAAATGTTCACATAGAAGTTAAGTTATTTGCTGTCAAGAATGCAGGAGGCATGTCTCACACTAAAGATTTGTGGAGCACCTTCAGTGGCCGCACAGTTCTAGAGACAGAATAGATACCTTTGGGGGGATTCACGCTGACAGTTCAGCCTCAATCTCGATGCAGTCCGCATCAAAATTTAATGTAATACTTTTTCCAACATAGGTGCAAACAAATGAACTGTACCCAACATCCCTAGAATGAGATTTCAGTCACAGTCTGTGCCGATTTAAAGAGAATTCATAGATACTTTCTCAGCATTTCTAAAAAACATATTTTGATATGTAGTACAGAAAAGTGATGCAGAAGAAAAAGTGAAACAAAAATGGTTCTAAAGCAAAATTAATGGGGATAGAAATAAAGGGAGGGGGGGGTCGCTTCATCTGCAGCAATGGAGTTAAAAGCATTGCGTCATAATCTGCAGGAAGATGTGCATGCTCGTCTGTCAATCACATGTATTTAGTTATCAATCAATGATATCGGACCATGAATCGTTCCGGTCGCTTTGACCCTGACGTCTGTGTGCGTCTCCTCTCATGTTGTGTGGCAGATGGACTGCGTGTGCACCAAATCTTGAACTCCTCCTTAAAGTGTCTCATAAACTCTTGAGCGCCTCAAAACAAACACAAACTAAACTTCACACATGCACATAACAAACCCCTGTTGCAGGATGTCTTGCAAATGAACCACAATGCATTCCTCAACTCAGCTCCTCCTTCATATATCTAAAGAAACACAATGAATGTTTTTGTCTTTTATTTTGATAATCAGTTCCCTTTACTAAAACTTCCTTTAACTGTTGTATGTGGGAACTGTCAAAATGTCTTCTCCCTCTTGTATACAGTCTCCTATCTCTCCTTTCTCTGCCCTAAAAACAGAAATTAAGTCCAACATTGCGCAGCTCTATAAACCCACTGTTTACCAGCAGGTTTAATGCAGCGAGCCCTTAATTGCATTCATTATCTAAAGCTCCAGGTCTGGGCCAAGGTTGCAGGGAAAGATGGGGGATTTCAGTTATCTCTTGTTTATTCAAAAATATATATAATAACTGCCAGTAGTGAAGATAATAAGTAATGAGTACGTATTGTGAAAATAAATTATGAAAAAGGCAAGGATTTCCTCAGCACTTTTATCAGCCTCGTTTTCTGTAAAGAAAGGAATAAGGATGTGTAGGCCATCATAGCTTAAGACATATTGAAAGTCTGGAGGAAAATGGAGGTTTCTTTGTATGAGGGGACACATAATGGAGTCGCCCCCTGCTCCCGAGGTGAAGTGGAAAATGGGGGCTATAATTGAAACAGTGCGAGAATGTATAAAAAGGACTATCTGAATGTACCTATGAAGGAACGTCAGGTCTGTTGAGATTAAATAAAGCTTTAAACAGTTTTAACAGTTGGCTACTTTTACTTGTAAATAGGACATGTGCTATCTCAGCATGAAAAGTTGCTCATTCATAATGTAACAGGGTGATATTTCAAAACCTTTAAAAGCAACAGATGTAAGGTGAATAATAGGATTTCTGCTGTTAAAACAAATCAGTACCTCGTCACAATCAAATTATTATAAACAACCTTTTATAGGTAAAGAAAACTACAATTCAAACAATTTAGGTGAAACGAACAAGTGAAAACATGAGGATTATTCTACATTAAATTTCTGCCAATCGTTTCCTTTCACCTAAATCTTACACACTGGACCTTTAAAATAAAGATCTGTGAATCACAATTCTAAAGTTTAACTGGTTTGTAAACTCGTTTTCAAATTCACACCTTTCCTGTTTCTGACCTTGCATATACCAGCAATATGTTTTTCCACCAGCCGATAGCATCCTCATACCTGCAACTCACCCAGGTAATATGTGACATCCATCAGATGTTGACACACTTCACTAAAAACTACACAAATCAAATCTTTCAGTCATAACCAAGTAGGAGAACATCTACTGTTGTCAAAATCTAAACCGACATTTTAATAAGTGACCCTGTAATAAACTGCAGTGAGTAGCATTCACAGAATACAACTGAAAGCACTGGTGAAAGGGAAGAGGAGCCATATCAGGACCCAGATGCATTCTCCGTACATTTTGACATTGAATATTAAAAATGAGCAAGTTCACAGAATCAAATACCTCCCGAGCACAAGTGAATACAATTGTATCTGGCGAGGAGGTCAGAGCAGTGTTTTCCCTGAATAACCCACTGGAGCTTTGGTTCTTTAAAATCTTAAATTAATTGCCTTTCTCTGTTACTAAAATCAGTCACACATAACCTCTGAATGGATGTATTACAAGCACCTGGCAGCCAAGCATAAGCCCATTCTGACTCAGTAAGGTGTGAGCTCCCATCCCGGTGAGTTACATCAGATGACATATGTAGGGGCAGATGGGATGGATAGTTCTTCCAGGTTTATTTATCAGGGTTGTCGGCAGCATGTTGTAGCAACTGATCGAGCCAGGTGCCAAATCAGATAACAACCTGATTGATGAAAGCTGCTGTAACAGACACCCACCTGAATATGGAGAACGCGGACGATCTCAATGCGATTGCTTGATCAAAATAACAAATTAGAGGCTTGCAGCTGATGGCCTTTACAAGTTATTTATCCTCTTATTCCACAGATGCTCAGAAAGTTAGGAGACTTTGAATGCTGTAATTACAGAGTTGTAAGTGATAGCAATGATTAAATGTGTGTTGCCGGTTGCACTGTCACAGAGCTGAGAGCAAAGCATACACTCTCAGTCCACCGGGACACTGCTGGCACGCACACTCCGTGACCATATGCTCCTCTCCACCGCTTGTAATATTCATTCACTTCCCCTCCTTCATTCTCTCAGTCTGCCTCTCTATCAGCTGTGTAACTGGCAGTCGTGCCCATGTACAAGAGCAGCCCTAATAGAATCTCCAGAGACCTCTCCCTAACACCCACTCGGTCTTCCTTCCCGTTTCTGTCTTTCTCTCGCAATTCTCAGTGGAAAAAAAACCCACACATCGCAGTTGCTCTCAAAATAGAATAACTGTGGGAAGAACCGCAGGAATAGAGCATGAGTCACGTGACATGTCACACTGACCCCCTCGGAGAGACAACGCAAGGCACTCGGGGCAGTTAGCCACCTACACCTTGCACCCTTTAACTCCAATTACAGGTACGGCCGTGATGATTTTAGAACAGCCCCTTCCCATCTAATCACTGCAGCGAGGGGCACTGTATCGGAAAACCATCATTAGCACAAGTCAGTCATTCAGGGGATTACAGTATATTAATTATTTAAAACACAGATTATTGCGGCATTTGGCACACTAATGTTGCTAATTTTGCACAAGTGCATCTGATCTGTGCTGCACTTCCATCTGCACGACAAAAGCACATCGAGTGAACTACAGTGTTGTGAGTGGGTTTGTCACGAAGCAGAAAAACACTGGTTAATTGAGCTAGAAAGAAGAACAACATGTGAAATTCTGTTTTCTTTGTTTCGCAGGAGAAGAAACAGAGAAGGAATAAAAAAAGAAGAAAAGAAAGTCAAGTTATTTCCGTAATGGTGGCGCCACCTTGCTGAATTTATAACCCTTTTAGCATGGCAGATGATGGCAGGAAGGAAACAGGAAAGTGGGGGGGGCGATTTTTATCTCGCAGAGGAAGAATGACAGTTCCATTACCTGAGAGTCGAAGATGCTGCCTGCAATCCAACAAGTAGACCCCCTCCCCCCCTCTGATACGAGCTTATCAATACTGAAGGCATGCCATTTCCACCCATCTGCAGTGAGGGCTCTCATCGATCACGCCCCTGAAAAGTCAATCATGGTTTTCACTAATCAAAGCTCACAAAGATTTGAGTCATCTCAGGACTGCACTCACATGAAGCACTGTGTGAACCGTCCCACTGTATCTAATAAAGTGAAGCTCCTTCAGGGCTGCGGCGATATTGATCATTTCTTACTGTAGTGATAAAACAGCGTGCCCCTGCAGTCAGACATTTTTCACACCCTACATACTGAAATAACTGAATCCGAGAGAGAGAGACAGAGAAGTTTAAAGTTTAAATTGGGGGCTGTGTGTAGGTATTTGAGTTTGAAACATTAAAAATGTTGTCAAAGACATCCACTGTATTGATATCTACTGAGGTAAGCATAACCATGCCATCATGCTTGTTTCTCTGTGTGTCTCTGGGCGTGAAATCGCCAGACTAAAAATAACAGTTATGTAATCACACTGCAAGGTAAACCAGTGTCAAACGCGTCCATGCAGGTGTGGCAGCATGTCAACAACTGCCCGATGCTGAAGATAAGATTCATTCAAGTTAAAAGTTTCATTTGATTGGCCAGTGAAACAATTCCCCAAACGCTCAAACACATGCTCTACAGGATGAACACACACCGAAACACACACACACAAAAATAATAGTAATGTATTTTTGGCAGCCCACCAATATGGAGGCCCATCGGGATTCGTCCTAGTATGTGTGACTTTGGAACAGAAGTGACCGAGAGAGCATTACTCGTTCTGTACAAGGGACGTTTCTGGTGACATGCAGCCGGCTACTTGTTAGGAGTAAGACTGTGACAATTCTTACAGGTTATTACCTCTTTAAAGGTCCAGTGTGTAACATTTAGGTGAAAGGGATCTACTGGAAGAAATTTAGCATAAAATAATCCTAATTATGTTTTCACTAGAGTGTTTTCTTTACACTTTACCCTTATATTCAAATACTTTATATTTACATCAGGAGCAGGTGATCTCTACGGAGGCCGCCATGTTTTTTTACAGTAGCCCAAAGTGAGGTGAGGGGTATTCAGCTGCAACATGCAACTTCACCGCTAGATGTCACTAAATTATACACACTGAACCTTTAAACAACACATCGTCATACAGCGAATAAGAGTTTGAGGCGTAGTAAAAGGTGTAACTGACCTTAGTGCTGCGTTGGACGTGTGATGTTTCATCTGCAGTCAACAGTTCACTTCCTCTTCACCACTTCATCCCTGCAATATTTTGAATTGTATTAATTTTGAGAGAGCATGCCTATGTTTTTAAACAGATCTACATTTATGTACGAACGAGATAACTGAGTTAGCTACCAGTAATATGATGTGCTTATACGCCATCTTGGCAACGTCCCCCGGGCAGTTATTTCAAATTAACAAGACCAAGCTCCTATCTAAATTAATAGAGAGATTAGCATATTCCATGTTAGGATTAAAACAGGAAAAATGTAGCACATGCAGTTATGAGCTCGACCACATCGTATCATTAATATGGAGGTATAACAATAATGTGAGGGTCCCAATCTTTTTGAAGTGAGACAATGTCAGAGTTGCGAGACAAATAAGTAACCGCAGCTTAAAAAACAAACCAAAATCATGCCCAGTATTAAAATAATAAAATATAAATATTAAAATACTAGGGAGTATAATGTTTATTTTGTTAGTGATGGTTCTGTTGTTGTTGCCTCATAAGTAACAGTGTGAGAAGAAAGTAAAAGTGTCAAACTATTATTTGTTTGTGGAAAACAGGACTGATACAGAACTGATATTTGTGAGGCTTTAAGCAAATGGTGTTAATGAATGCATGGGGAGACATAGTGATCATAAATGTAAAAGAATGAACTGGCTTGTTAGATATTCATAACAAGCAACTAGAATTTTTTTAAAAAGGCCAAAGCCAAATACACTCTAATCAACAATGACCAATTATTACAATCAAGTCGGCCGCTTCAGCTGCAGTTTTTGTTATTATGTCAGAAAAGACTAATAGTTTTCTTATGATAATGAAACTTAAAATACGAATGTCAAGCACATGTACAGTAAGCAACCATGTTAGGGGCCATCAGGGGTTGTAGCATAAAATGGCAACCAAGCATTAAGAATCAACTGTCCAAAAATTCCACCAGCCACTGATACGATTCCTAATGATATATCCATATTAACGACTTCCATAATCAGAGCTTTAAATACCAAGATAACTCACTGTTGAATGTTCGATTCCACCCACTGCACAGATGGATTCCCATCCTGTCTAACACCACTGTACATTTGACGCACTCAAAGACAACGATACAAATTATCTCTGAACAGCGAAGCTAATATCAATCTAACGTTGATGACCTTTATTTCAAAGCCACACAACTGCTTAGCCAGAAGCAAGAGAATTTAAACTTTAATATGTATGAATAATTAAAGCTCTGGGAAAAGACCATTTACTTGGCCAATAAAGATGAAGGGAAGTGCCAGGCTAAACGTTGAAATTGTGAATAGGCCTAAAATGGCCCTCATTTGGAAAGTATTTCATTACACCGATTCACTCTTTGGTCAGTGAGGTTAAAAGCCATTAGACCGAGGATGCCCAACGGTGGTACACCCACCTGCCCAAACCAATCATATTTATTTAACTCATGAGCTTGTGTTGTTTGGGCCTCACATGGCTTCTGTAACACCGTCAAGATTAGAGCTCGAGGTGTGTGTGTGTGTGTGTGTGTGTGTGTGTGTGTGTGTGTGTGTGTGTGTGTGTGTGTGTGTGTGTGTGTGTGTGTGTGTGTGTGTACTTCAGTCTGGCTGGAGAAGGATCATTGTGATAACTATAGCCTTGGCAGAGAAGAGACACTCATTCGAAAAGACTAAATAGTGAGAGATAATTTAAATTGCCTCGTCATCAGGCGTTGATGCCAAGTGCCATTACACACAGAGGGAGGAGAGAATGATGGTCTTAAAGAAAAACAAGAAGCATCCACACTTTTGGCTTAATGCGAGTACTCCAAGTCATCATCTATGGGAACATTAATGACATTTGCCATCACTACTGGGTAAAATCTTCATTACACAGGAATAAATGCATTAAAGTCTCAAACTAGAGCCGCTGGGTAAACAAGGCTGCCTGTTTTTCCAATAGGATCCATAATGGGTATTTTCAAACTTGTGTACTTCTGCTTCATACATTAAAACAAAATCGGACAAACTTATTTGATGTTATTCAGATTCCAAGATGTTTTGACCAAGAACTTCAGTCAGAAGAATTGATAATGGTTCTGCCCTGCTCCTCCTCCTGCCAAGGCAAACACTCACTGCTGCTCTCAGCTCGTGCAGCCAACTCCAGCCTTGCTCCGTCCTTCAGGCTGATGACAGAGGGCAAACTGGCTGAACTTGGGCCGTCAGCTGACCCGTGATGGATGGGTTTGGGCACGCCAGGTTTCGGGCCGCAAGATGCCGCGCTCCCGAGAAATGCCTGTGCTTAAGGTTTTGAAGCTTTCTCTTCCCCTAATAAAGATGTCTATCATCTGCGAATAAGTAACCTTGTCCATCCGCCAAGTCGACGCCGTGCACGGGGCGGAGGGCAAGATCGGCGGACCACAAATCAATCATGCGTAAACAACGCAACGATGAGCTTGCCTCCGATAACAATTCCGAGAGAATATTGCGGCATAAAAATGGAATGAATGAAAGCCAAGAAGCCATGCCAGTAATAGCATCAAGCTAATAAAAGAGATAAGCAATCAAATGGGAAGCTGACTTGCTGTAAAGGGAACAATATCAGTTCTCATTCTTTCTGATGGCCAAGGAGGGAGGGAGGCTTTTCATAGCTGGAGTAATTCTAGATTAAAAGAAGTGAAAGTCTTTTCAAAATATTACCAAACTTGAAACTGGAAATATCTACAATCAATAACATTAAGACAAAGGAGCTTTGCAGGACTCACGTATTGTATTGCCACAAATTATCTCTGAAGTCTTTTTAATAACGTGGTTATGTCAATTTCTCGTGTTTTAGAAAAGAACATCAATAGTTCTACATTTCCCCTTCAAATAGGTTTTTAAAAATTAGAAGAAAATGCATCAAAATAGAAAGAAAAATCCTCTAAAAACCAAGTTCTGATAAATGTGTAGTACAAATACATGCTTTCTTAGATTCCTTTTGAGTTCACGCTCTCCCCTATACATGCCTTGCAACTACAGCGGTGCTAATCTTGTATAGGAAGGGAACTGTCCAATCGAGGAGGGGTTAGACGAAGGATCAGGGAAAAGGGGGTAAATCTGACAGAAGAGGGAACTGACAGAAAGGTACAGGACAGAAGCTGTGACTGGATTCCACGTCGTCATCCTCCTCACTCCATCAACTCCAATATACCCGGTCAGATGATGCATGAAAATCCATTTATGCTACAAGCCAGGAGGGAAGATGAAGGGGAGAAAGAGATGGGGAGATACAAAAGATGGATAGGAGGATAGATGCATGTCTACTGGTGGTCTATGGCCAAAACCAATGGCACCAACGAGCACAACAAATTTCAGTGTTGACGATGCACTGTTGGCAGCAAAGCACGCAAATAAAAAAACTCTTTTCAGTTCCATCAGTTTGTGGCTCGGGACTTAATTTTAGGTTTGTATTTCAAAGGATTTTAAAAGACATCTTGGTTTTGTATGAAAGACACTAATTGGATTGGTTGTCACCACCTTTTGGATGTGGGGGAAATGTTGTGTTCTCAAACAGCGTTATGCAAAATGTCAATTTGATCTTCTGTACAGAGTGATGCTCTTTTAATAAATACATTCTTTGCCGCCAAATGTAGGAAAATAGCAACGCACGCTGATAGATAATGACACAGAAATTTGAAATTAGGTGAGAAACACTTTTAAAATGGCACGGTCTTCTTCCAGTAACACTACACATTAATTATCTGAAGTCAGCTGCTGGAATGGAACAGAACAATAAAACAATCCAATAAAACAAAAACTAGTCACAAAAGAAAACATGTGTTCATTTTTATTAATGTCTGAACTTTTAGGAGAATAAGACTCAGGTTTATTCTTTTTCTGTCCTCAGTACTTAGACAGTGCTAAGTGGAGTGTGGGTGGGAGACGGGTTCTTTATAAATTGGACCTTACAAAGTACTTGAGTGAACAAGACTAAGACATATTGCCATTCCACATAAAAGGTGTATTTTCCAGAGCCCAACAAACATGACAGTTGAGCTGTCTCAGAGTAGCTCTTGTGATTGGTCACTGCTGTAAACCTGATAACCTCTTTGTCTCTAAAATTAGAGGGTCTGCAAGTTGTGTTGACCGAAGAAATTCACATTTCTTTCTATCACTTTTTGCACATTGAAACAGGACTTAACTCTGTAAATTATCATAAACTGATGTGTTTTGCGTCTCAATTCATGCATTTGCATTTATTTTTACTGCACAAGCATGATCACACCGACAGTTACGGCTTATTGCACACAAATAGTTGAGTGTAAAGCTGCTAACCATCAACGGTACAAGTTTTTTTGGGAAAGGGGAACAACATCGACGTTACATATTGCAATCGTCATTTCCATTATGTGCACACAGGCTGTGTTGGATTTGAGACAAAACTACACTGTAGGAATTCATGCACCGCTCCAGTGTCTATACTGTGCACAACACGTAAAAGAGCACACACTGACGTACCCAGTGTCAGACCCACAGATAGTTATTGTGTGAATTTGAGTGCTCTTGCAGGAAATGTCATTTGGGATGAGCTCGAGCCCCTGTCTCACCCGTGGACCCAGGTGTTGGACATCCCCTGTAATTGCCCCCCCATGGTTCGCCTGTGTGCATCACACCTGAACTTCCCCAAAACACACCAACGGTTATGAGTGACACAAAATCCTGTTTGCACGTCCTGTCACAGAAAACAGATTTGCTTTCTGACAAATTGAAATTCAATAAGCTATATAATTGCTTTGAAAACATATATAGCACCTCTGTTGCTATATAGTGAAGAGAGTGAAATGTAGAGTATGGGTAGATGTGACTATTTATCTGTTTTATTTTGAAATTTCTGCTCTCCGTCATTTCTGTTCACTAGATCTTATTCTGCCTTTAATTGTTTAAGACTCTCAGTTGTGGGCGCACAGTGTCTTCAGGGGATGGAAAAGAGCAAACAAGTGTTTGTTTATCAAAGCTTGGCCAGTGAGTCAAAAGTCAATTTATCTTGCTGAACAAGGTGGCAGAAGCCGGCCAGGATT